ATGATGAAATGAAATGAAAGCAAATTTGATACAAGTGAATTTGATTCAAAGCACCCAGCCCTTCAAAATGGATTTAAAGTAGGTCTGAATAACAAAATAAATAGGAATGTTTAAAGATGAATCAACAGGAGCAAAAACTGAAGAATTTATAGGACTAAGATTGAAATTGTATTCTTACAAAGTACACGGGAGACAATAATAAATGTAAGGGAGTAAAGAAATATGTAGTTAAAAAACATATAACACATGAAGATTATAAAGACTGCCTGCTAAGCAGAAGAGGTCAAATAAGAAAAATGAATGTGATAAGATCTCATTTACATGAAGTATATACAGAAGAAATTAATAAAGTAGGATTAAGCTCAGCAGATGATAAAAGATTTTAGAAGATGGTATTCATGCATTACCGTATGGCCATTATAAATTAAATATAAAAGACTTTTCATTTCAGAATGATTGGAAATAAGTATACAGGCATAGGCACAGGCACAATCACAAAATTAAAAAGGTAAGTTTTTTTAAAATCATTTAAAAAAAAACTAAAACTATTAATAAAATTAAACAAACATATTAATGTTGAAGAAATCATATTACCAAATGAACCATTAACAAACTTTCAATTAATAGAAGCAGCAAAAAAATTAAAAATAAAAAATTTTAAAGATGTATTTGTAAAAGATAAATTACCTAAAAATTCACAAAAAAAAAAGTGGAATATTAAATACAGGAGATTCAAGTACAAATGGATTTCATTGGATTTGCTGGTACAAAGACGGAAATAAAAAGTTTAGCTTTGACTCTTATGGACTACCACCGCTATTTGAACTCGTTCAATACTTACACAGTCCTGTTTAATATAATAGTGAACAAGTTCAGTTTGGATATACTTTCTATTGTGGACACTTGTGTCTCTATGTTTTAAAAAAATTAGATAAAGGAAATAATTTTCAAAGCATAATCAATTCACTGTGGTAAAATCATCTAAATAAAAAAATCAAATATATAAAATGAGTATCAATACATTTGGTAATTCAGTTATCGGATTAACTGTTTTAGGTCAATCTGAAAATTTAAATCTTAGTATTAATATAGACAATAGAGCAACTTCTGACATGGATTTAAATACACATAAATTAGTCAATCTAGCAAATCCTACTTATTCTCAAGATGTTGCTACAAAGAATTATGTAGATACTGCGCAAGTTCCTAGTAATCTGTATATTAGAACAGATGGTCAGAGTCGTGCAACTGGTAACATTGATTTGAATACGCATAATTTAATTAATGTTGATGAACCTACTAATCCACAAGATGCTGCTACAAAAAATTATGTAGACACCGCACAAGTTCCTAGTAATCTGTATATTAGAACAGATGGTCAGAATCCTGCAAATGCTAACATTAATTTAAATAAGCATAAATTAATTAATGTAGATGATCCTACTCAACCTCAAGATGCTGTTACAAAGAATTATGTAGATAATACACAATCTACTAATTTAGATATAATTCCAAATACAAGTTTAACGAGTTTTGGAGTAAAATTTCAAACAATCAGATTAGATCCAGGATCGTACACTATTTTTAGTTATAGTGGTAGTAAAGGAATTCTAAGAAAACTGTGGATTGCACTTACAGGATCTGCTGGTGCACCAGGTAACGTATTTTTTTAAATATATGCTGATAATGTACTTTGCATAGGTAATGATTACATTGTAACAGATGCTGTAGGTTTTAATAATACAGCTTTAGCTTGTGATTTTTTATTTTCACCACTTGGTAGACCATTTTATGCAAACTCTTTACAAGGATGTCATGTACTAGTGCATTAGATTATTATTTTACACACGATCTTCCCTTTAAATTAAGTTTTTATATACAATTATACAAAAAAACAAGTAATTCAGTGACATTTTGGTTACAAACTTTTATCACAAGAAATTCATCGTTGCAACAAATATTAACTATTATTAATCCGCTAATACCTTAATCCATCTCATCCATTGAGTGGAATAACATTTAGATATGTAAATACAACTTATGGAAAAGAATATATGTTGATGAACGCTATGGATAATGGAAACGGAGTGCATTAAAAATATATTAGAATGCATGTCATTGGAGGATCTGGAAACTGGTGGGAATCCAGATTATGTATATACAATGGATATGGACCCCCTACAAATACTAATTCAGTTATTCAACCTTGCACATCCTATAATGGCAATTATTATACTACATTTCCTGGACATGCTGTTAACAGTCGATGCATCTTCATTTCATCAGGTTTAGAAGATTTTCATCTATCTTTATAGAATGGATCGAATGTAAGCTCATTTAATAATGAAGCAGCAGGTTTGTTGTATCAATCAAGTAGTATAATTGGTCCGACAACTACGATTTCATTTTATAGAAACTTTGATTCATCTGAAGGTAGCGTTGGTAGTGGTAGAAGAATGGTAGTGACACTTAACTCTGGTGATGATCAAGTTGGACAATCTGGAACCTTTTATGTATTAATAGGACAATGCTACTTTTATGCTTTGATGGTTGCTTTGATAGTTAAAGTTAAAAAAACTTTTTTTTTATTTTTTATGAAACTTGTGAACCATAAAAAAAGTTGTCACTTTTTTATAAGAACTTTTAAATTTGAAAATTATGCTTGCAATGCACTTAGAAAAATTCAAAATATTATGGATAAAAATGTGGTCGAAAGAAATGAGCTAGAACCCACACTTTCCTAGTAGTTATACTCTTTCTCTTTGAAATAATTTTAGCCTTAATAATTAGGCCATTTTTGCTTTTTTATGTATTTTTATGTTATTTTTATATGTAAATGGAAATTTACAATTTACAATTTTATCACTTTGGTGATTACAGAACTAGATTCCTATTAATTATATTTTTGTACCAAGATTTGGTACAAATAATAGCTTTAATTATTTAATAACTGGCAAAAACTGGTATTAAAAACAGCTTAATTGAAAGAATATGTTATGAGTTGCAGAAAAGTTTCCATAAGCAATGTCAAACAAATAGAACTAACTTGTATGACATAACTAGGATCCAGGATCCTTTTCGGTATCCTGTTTTGCTTTTTAAATAAGTCCTAATAAAAGGGCTTAAAAATAATAATCAAAAAAAATTTTGTTAGAGTCTTTAGACTCAAAAAATTTTATCACAGCCTCCAAAAACACTAGAAAAATGTTACGCAACTGTCGTCTTAAAGTCTGTTTGTTTAAGTTATTTTTGTTATGTAAACAATATTAAAGTAAATTAGTATAGCTAATTGTTAACTAAAAGCCAAGAATTTTGAATTGATTTAATTTCTGCCGTAAACTAAGATTTATTGAAGTAAAGAGAGCAAATTAAATATATATATAGTCGGTTGTCGAACGTAATTATCATCGTACTAGTTTTGACAGCTCTTTGTAAAGTTTAACAATTTTTTGTAATTTTATTTTTGAAAAAGTGTAAAAATATGTTTTTTATTACTCACGTAAAATTGTATAATTTTTTCTCTTTGAAATTATCACTTCGTATGTTATATTACCAATTATTAGGTTATATTACCAATTTTTTAGTTTTATATATAAATGAAAACCATTTATAACTTTATCACCTTTGGTGATTACAATCCAGATAATTTTTGTTTGCATTAATCAATTTTCGGCGCAAACAACAGCTATAATAATAATTTAATTGCAAAAGTTGGTATTAAAAACTGCTTAATCGGAAGATTTTGTTAAGAGTTTGTTACCGAAAAATTTCTAATATATTATTTTTGTTTCTATTATATATTTAAGTTTATATAATTATAGAAACTTTTCTGTAACAAACAGATAAAGTTAAGGCTGTTATAACAATCAGAGCTAACGTATTTGACATATTTAGGTTTCGTGATCCATTTCTGTGTCCCCTTTTGCTCTTTAAATAGATATTATATAGTGATAAAGTTATATTTTATCATAGCATTAAGTTTTCAAAAACACCTGGAGAAACGTTACACAGCTGTCATTTATGTTAAAGATTTAAATTAGTTAATTAGTATAGGAATGGTTGCTGTTAAATAGACTTACCGAGACCCATATACTACAGGTCCGGGCAGCTAGTTACATTATTATGAAGATAAATTATTTTGATATCTTTTGACTGCTTTTTAAATTAGATAAATGATTGATATCTTCCACGTTAATTTTTTCTAGAGAAACATTTTTAATTTGAATCCTTTATCTTTCTCTCCTTGTAAAGTTTGATGCCTCAATAGTCGTAATGTTGCCATGTTGGCGTTTTTGCGCTTTTTTTGTTTCTGGTCAAAAGAATATTTGCCGGTGTCCACCAACGTCATAGCCTTTTTCCCTAATTTTTTAAAACTTGATCTAACCTCTTGACTGAAAATAGTCAGAGGGGCTATACATTTCATACTATACAGAAATAAACTTCATTCGCCACAGTCAAACTAATTTTAACGGTTTGAAGCATTTATTTACTTTGTTAAGCCTTTACCAAAATTGCGTTTCAGATAAAAATCATAAAGGCCGTTTTTAAATAAATAATTTTTTTTAGTATTTTTTTCTATTATGTTCGGTTTTTTTCAGCTAGCATCTACTATTGTATTCGGCTTTTTTGAGCTGCCATCTACTATCGTGTTTGGCTTTTTTAAGCTAGCTTCTACAATCATGTTTGGCTAATACTTATATTTTAATCTATTGTTTCATTATAGAATAAAATGTTATTTTCCATTAACAATTATGTTGTATACAGAAAATACTAGCTATATTGTATATAAAAAAACCTTTGGCCATTTGTATAATATTTTATAGGAAATAATTTTTCAATATTTTTAATTACAATATTGCTGAAGTGATCAATACTTGCAGTGTCAACTTAGTCATCACATAATTCTATCGAATTTCCTTAATGGTGCTGGTCTTTTTTAAAAGATAAAAAATGTCAAGAGATAAACAAATATATTTATATTTTTATTTTATATCATTATAATAAAGTTCACGAAATTTTAAATAAAAAATTATATCAAATAATGCGTCATTTAAAAAAAAAAAGTTTGCTATATAGTATTTATGTCTAGAAAATTCAACTTTTTACATTTTGCATCGTCAACAATTGCTTAAAAGTTGCAGTTTTAAAAATAAATGAACTTTTGTGCAGTTTATATTTAAGACACTTCATTAAATTCGAGAATATGCTATCCATGGAATGCGGAATGTATGTGTTTTTTACCTAAAAAAAAAAGTATTATATTTTCATCTTAAAACCCTTTTTGAAAAGCTGTTTAAAAAAAAATGAACGAAGTTTAATTTATTAGACACTTACAGCGGGGAGGGCTGATTAATTATTGCAAAATGATTGCTCATACATATTTTATATTACATATGTACCAGCTCTGATAATAAATATTTTGTTAAAAGATAAGTAAAAGGATTTTACGACAATAAGAAATAAATTACTTTGCATAAGTGACGATTCACAGCAGGCAAAAAACGTTTGTTGAATATTTTTAGAATGTCGTACAGACTTGTGACGTCTATAAGACGTGGCACGCAAGTATTACGGACATCTGCGCTAGCTGGGTTTCTTATTTAAATTAGACCTAAATAGACTTGTATAATAATAGTATAACAAAATATTTTTATACCGTAGTCGGGTCAAATTTACCTTTTATAACATTATTTATTATATATTGTATCGTATTAACTTTTTTTAGTAGTAACAGCACGTCCATGTAAAACAAGAAATCTCAATACAATTTTATGAAAAAAATGTCTCAACTAATCAGAACAAGAATATAAACTATCTACATAGTGTGAAAGAATTTTACTTTTGCCTAAACTTTAATATTAGATTTTTAGAATTAATAAGAAGGTTGTTGAAATAACTAATTAGTTTTTGTGACTGCTACTAAAGTTCAGCGAATGTTTTAGCATAATTAGGAGAACACATCAAAGCGTTTGTAAAAACTTGTAAGTAGATCATGTGTTTCAATTTTTGAAAATCATTGCTTGAAATTATCAATAAACTTGTCTATAAACTAAAAATGAAAGAATGGATAAAGTACAAAACTGGTTTTATATTTCATCCAATAATTTCTAAGAATTAGAAAGATATGTCGTTTAAAAGGTTAATGATCCAAAGTGCTAAAACATACAAAGTATCAAAACATAAAAAGTACAACTTTTTTCTTTTATGTTTAGGTATGCATTTGAATGAAAATGTTTTAAAGTAGTTTTCAAGGAAGCAGTATATAGTGTATGATGAAGCAAAAACTAATTATAAGACAATTAAATATGGTGTTCCTCGAGTATCAATTTTAGGACCACTTCTACTTCTCGTTTATATAAACGATTTAAATAATTTTGTTTGCAGATGATACCCGCTTGTTTTATTCCAAAAAAGATACCAACATATTATTTCAAACAATAAACAAAGAACTAGACAAACTAACCCATTGGTTTAAATCAAACAAGTTATCTTTAAATATTACTAAAACAAAATACACTTTGTTCCATCGTCAACATAAAAAAGCAGATATTCCCTCAGAACTTCCGGAACTTTTTATTGATAATCAATTAATAAAGAGAGAGCAATCAACAAAGTTTTTTAGGGGTGTTTCTAGACGAAAATGTAACCTGGAGGGAACATATAGGTGTAATTGAATATAAATATCGAAAAATTTAGGTATAATGTACAAAGCTAACCTTTTATTAAATCAATCTTGTTTAAAAATCTTTTCTTTTATTCATCGTTACTTAAGTTATGTGAACATTGCTTGGTGTAGCACTAACGCGACGAAAATAAAAAAACTGTTTAGCAAACAAAAACAAGCTATAAAGATATAAAGTTTCAAACGTTGATCGTTTCTCGCACACTCAAACACTATTTAATGAACTCAATATTCTAAATGTATATAAACTAAATCTCTATCATGTTCTTATTTTCATGTTCAAACTTGATAAAAAATATATTACCTTATATTACCTTATCTTATTTTATTCAATTTTTGAAAAAATAAATCACCTAAACTCTTTTCAAAATACAACTACATTCAATCCAAAACTTCTACTAATCCGCTACTAAATTCTCTTTTGTAAACCGGACCAAAATGAATTAAACTTTTTCTAATAAGGGCTTCTTTAAACTAGAAATCAATAATTAATTAATTTAGATTATTAATACATAATTATTCAACATATGTAAATATATTTTTATTATTTTAATTGATAATCTTCTTTTTGAGTAATTTATTTTTATTTTTATTTTATCAATTTAATAAACATAAAAATATATAATGCAAAAACTAGTGAAATTTTTTTTTATTAGTTACGCTATTTTACAATACTTTATTTTATAATTGTCATAATATAGTATAAAATATTAAAATTATAATATAGTATTATATATTATACAGCAGCGTAGCGAAGGGACCGCAGGGCCGGCAACCGTGGGAAGGGCCAGAGTTATAAGGGGCCCTAGCCAAAATTTTCAATTTTTTTTTAAAAAATGTTATTCTTAAAAATAATATGCAAGTATATAAACATAGAAATATTACAAACTTTCGCTATTATTATATAGCTAAGAACTACAAGTTCTTTTTCTGACTATTTTTTTTAACTTTGATAATAATCTTAACTAATACTACAAATAGTGAACTTTTTAGTTATTTATATCTAGAAAATTAAAACAAACTGTTATTAACTCATAAATACACAATTTAGTTAAGTGGTAAGTATGATGTCATTAGGTTTAAAGGCAAAGTACAATAGTGGAGCTATTGTATTAAAACAATAACTCGCTTAAAAAAAAAGAATTCATTTTTAAACAATTAAAGTTGTAACACTTCAATTTATATTACACTTATATACACTTCAAGTTGTATTTAAGTTAGTTAGTTAGTTAGTTAGTTTGTAGTTAAACTGTAACTGGACGAAACCAGCGAGTGTGGTTTATCACACTTTGACAGCATTAATCCAAATATATATTTAAAAATGTTTAGTTAAAATTGAGTTGATAGTTCACTTTTAACAAAAGATTCTTAAAAAATTAAAGTTAATGGCAATGCTTCGGAATCCGCACAATTTTTCAAAATCAACGGATGTATAGAATCAACTCCATATGTTGTATTGATATCAACATGTTTCAATCTACTTAAAACATCAAAATAATCTTTATTAACTGCATCAATAATAATATCCCCTAAATTCTCGATTTGTGGAAGCTCTTCTGTAGAATTTTCGATGCTAAACACATCTTGAAATTGTTTATTTAAAATTTCAACAATTTCATTTTGATCATTTGTTTCGCAACCAGTTCGATCTCTTAATGCTTTAATTACTTGTTTAATCGTTTTTTGACTATTCACATATTTATATAGCAGTTTTTTTTATCTTTGATTTATCTTGATTTTTCAACAAGATCATTTTCATAGTTACATTTTGCTTTACGCGATTCTATTTTTACAGTTTTGCAAATATTTTTATATTTCATTACTTTATTCAAATCTTTCCAGTTCGATGATAAATTTTGATAACGCAAATTTTGTTTTGAACGTACTAGAAGACTTACTTCATCAGTAAACCAAGGATTATTTTTTCTTTTCTTTCTTGAATTTACGTCAATTATTGGAATAAAAGCATCACATGATTGACTAATTTTTTCAATAAACAGATCATACATAAATTGAACTGATAACCCATCTAATAAATAATTCCAGTCAATTTTATCAATACTTAGGCTTATTGGTGGACTATCCACCAAGCCTAAGTATAAATTTGATTACATTTACTGTAATCAAATTTATACTTTGGATAATTTTCCATTGCAATAGCATCAAGGTTAAATTTACAAATTAAAACCAAATGTTCATGATTTATATACCCTAGAACTGGATTAGACTCGTTCATTGTTTTTCGTAAAAATAAGATCCAAGGTATTTTTTGTAACATATTGTGCATTTTGAAAGGTTGGGGTTAAAATGTGTTGGTACAAAAAACATTCATATGTAATATTAATAAATTCATTTTCAACAGAATCTTTACCTACTAAAATATCACTAACGTATCCATTCGACTATTTTAAATTTGGAAAATTAAAATCATCAATAGTTAACAAATCAGCAAAGATATTTTATTCTACTAATTTACAAGCTTCTGTGAATATTTGACTCTTTTCAAGCATATCTACTTGTTCGTTTGGTCTGTACACGCAACCAATTAAATAATTTATCATTTGCAGCTATAATGATTCATATTTTTTTAAATTTTACTTCTATTTAATATACCTTTGTTTACCTTATAAGATATTAATTTGCTATTTATATATAGCGCAACCCCTTCTCCTCCGTTAATTATAAATACAGTGAAAATTCACTGTACCTAGGGATGCGTTTTTTGATAGGTACAGTGAAAATCTATTTTTAGAATATTTTTAAAATTTACTTTCATTTTCCAAAATGCGTATGCTTTAAACAACGAGCATATTTTCGAAGAGAGTTCTTGAGTAAAATTTAGTAGTTAGAAGATTTTCAATAAGATTCTTAAAGATTAAAAAATGGAGGACATTTTCATGAAGAATTTTAGAGATTTTGATGAAGCAGAAAAGTCTGTTATTGAATATTGTAGAATGAATTTTCACCCCGTCAAAATCGACTCAAAAGAAAAAGTTGAACATTATAATAAAAAAGTAAAGGAAGGTTCCCAGATATGTTATATTCCTATTAACGCTATATATGGTTGTAGGTGAGCCCTATATAATAATAATTGTAAATATTGATAGTATTGGTAATACCAGTAATAATAAAGTAAGCTGTAACAATTGCTGAAATAGATAAATAAGATAGTGGAACAAGTTCCACAATCACTTTTAATAGTATTATTGTGATATTAATAGATGATGTTTTGCTACTTATAGCATGCTAGCACAACATTTTTTATTATTGTGTTCCACAATCAGTGAAACTTATTCAGCAATATTATTTGTTTCAGCAATATTATATACAATTGTATGTACAATTGTACATACAAATTTTGTACATACAATTGTACATACAATTGTATGTACAATTGTACATACAATTGTATGTACAATTGTACATACAATTGTATGTACAATTGTACATACAATTGTATGTACAATTGTACATACAATTGTATGTACAATTGTACATACAATCGTATGTACAATCGTACATACAATTGTATGTACAATTGTACATACAATTGTATGTACAATTGTACAAATGATGTATACGTTCACATCATATATTAATCAATTGTACATTATTATATGTACAGTATAGTACTGCAGTACAGCACTTACTTTACCCTACAATATTGTACATAAGTACTGAGTACTTATGTACAATATTGTAAGTGGGGCATTAAGCCCTATGTTTCAAAAACTTTAATTTTTTCTATTAGAAATAAATAAATATTAAGTTCATACTGGAAATGTTTTAAAGTGACAGACAACACATATATCTTTAAGTACAAGAGTTTTAATTAGCAAAATTTAAATCCGTATGGTAAAAAACAGTCAAATAGTTACAACTAAAGATGACTGAAAATTTCAATTATATTTTTCCCACTGAAAGAAACAAAGAAAAAAAAAAACGAAAGCAAAAGAAACAATAAAAATAACAATACATAGAGAAGTAAATAAATAAAAAAAAAGAAATAATACAAAATTATTGCTCGAATAATGAACGAGCAGATGTATATTTTTATGTGTTTTTACATTTTCTTGTTGTTTTTATGCTTTTTTATTGGTACTACTATTTGTTGTTTATTTTATTACATTAAATGTTTTGTTTATTATGTTGTTTTTTTTTGTTGTTATAAGTTCTTTTGTTTCATAACGTTTTTGTGTGTGTTTTTTTTGTTTTATTTTTATCAGTTTTTATTTTATTTATTTGTTTATTATTTTTGCAATAATTATATTTTTATATGGTTATTATATTATAACAATTATGATTGTTATGATATTATAACAATTGTTATGATATTATAACAATTGTTATGATATTATAACAATTATGATTGTTAACTAAGTCTTTAGAATTTTTAAACAATAGTTTTTTTTATGTCATTGTTAGTTGTTACGTTTTGTCTGTTTATTACTGTTTTTAACTGTAACTTTGTATGTATAAACGATTGTTGTGTGGCATTTAGTAATGATTCATTTAAATTATCTAAATTTATTTTTTGTTTATATGACTATTATTCTTGCTAATAAATATTTATTTAATATTGCTATTATGTATGTGTTGTATTTATTATTATCATATGTATGGAATGTAGTTATTATTATTTGGTGTTACATTACTCTTATATAATGAATGTCTTTAATACTATTTATAATATTATTATTGTTATTATTATTTTCATTTTTATTTGTTATTGTCATTAATATCTGGTATTTACTTTGGATTAGTTCATTACTATTTGTAAATGACCTTGAGTTGTAACAACTTTTGTATTCTAAAATATAAATTGATTGATATTGATTGATATATTGATTGACTGATTGTATTTGATTAAGACAATTTGTCCTGATTAAGACATTAAACTCAAAATTCAAAACAATCAAAATATTAAAATTATTGAAATATGAAACTATTTAGATTTTTTTATATATATTACCATATGCTGTGAAACGTGAATAATTTTTTTTTCTAAAAAAGTTAAATTTTTGCAGGGAAAATGGCCTTATAAAATTGAAAAAAAATGTTAAAGTATAAAATATGTTAAATTTTTTAAATAACAAGGACATTTATTGGCATTTTTTTACTAAAAAATTTCAGACTTTATTTTTATGAATGATGTCTTTATAAATCTGTTAAAATGACTATAATTAAAAGTGTATCTTAATAATGATGTCGTTATTTCACTTGGCAGTTGAATTGTAAGTGATTTCAGACTATTCAACTATGTAATTATGTTTTTATGAGTTTATTTTTTATGAGTTTTTTGTGGTTTAAAAACTGTATACAAAGAGTTCTTGTTTTTATTTGCAATCATATAAATGCCAATTCTAATAATTATATTAAATTAACTATGACTACTTCAAAAAACATAAGACTCTCTATGGAAACAAAGTTATCAACATATTTAGGCAGAAGTAAGGATCTTATTCCGTCAGAAGTGCCAACTTTAAGAGATATTTTGAGAAAAGGTCTGCTTATCCAAGAAGCTTTACTTCGAGAAGATGTTAACAGGTAATAATCAAGAAACTCAAAATTTATGAAACAAATTATACATTTTGCATTATATTATATATTTTTGACTTTAGAAGGAATTTTTTTTTTTTTTTTTTTTTTTTTCATTTTAATTCACCTCCTCAAGGCCGAGAAGGCCACTACAGACGAGGAGGCTACTTAATTATGGTTATAACCCTCTCTCAACTCTATAACTCCGAAACACGAACCTTGACGAGCAAGGCCGCTGCGCGGAGAAACGAGTTGAGCGCGGTACTACCAAGGACGTGGTGGGGATCGAACTCGGAACCACTTGTTTATGAAGCGAGCGCTCTACCACTACACCACTACCGCATATAATATATTTGATTGAGAGACTTTTCTCGACTACTAGCTGATATCGTTTTTCAGCAGTAGATGAAAGCAAATGCTCTTTTTAAACCTCCAGTGGTTATTGGAAAAAACTTTGATGGAAAAAAGTTTTCCTGGAACAAGATCAAAGATATAGCGCATGGGAAAGCTTCTCAGACACACGTGTCTTTTTGGGAATCAAAACTGGATGAATTTCTAGATATAACATGTGCAAGTGTGAAATTATGTTATGTAGCGAGTTGTGTTTGAAAACTTATTCTTGCGTCAAACAAGTACATATTAAATGAACTTGTGTAAAAGAGAAAAAAATTCCAAAGGTTGAACTTCTATGGCTTAATGCCCAAAGGAAAAAAAGAGAATCTATTTCAAAATACCAGATGGGTTTCAATGATATTAAAGAGACCGCGACACAGTTTTCCCGAGAGGAGAAAAAAATAAAGAGAAAGTCTAGAGTAGAGAAAAAATTAGAAATGGAAAAAAAAATTTAAGGTAGAAAATGACAACGTTGTTGAATGTTTAATTGAGGATTATTCAGATTTAAAAAAGGAAAAGATTTCAGAAGATCCGCTTCAAAACAAGATTTGGAAAAAAAATGTCAATAAGTCATATTGCAGAAGCTTCAATAAGATATGATATTTCACCAGTAGCAACATCAGCTATTATTACATCCTTTCTTCTAGACCTTATTGAAGCAAAGTATTTGATGCCTGATATGTCTTATTTACCTGTTGATCCTATGAAAGTAAAAAATAATGGAGAGAGTAATAATGTATGAAGAAAAGTTAATCGACAAAGAACCTATTAGAGGTTTGTTGATGGCAGCAACTTTTATTTTGGAACAGAATCCTCTAACATGAAATTTATCCTCTAATGTAAAATTTATTTAGAAATCCTTTAAATAAATTTCACATTAGGACTATAAAAGAAGAACATGTAACTGTGACGTGTGAGCCTGATGGAATATACCTCACTCATTACACACCACCTAAAGCTATACCGCCAAGCAAAACCAGCTCGGAATCCCTTATATTAACTCTTTTGTCAAGTACAGATAAAGAATTGAGGAAGTTTACCATTAAAACAATTAAAGATATAAGGAAAACAATTAAAGATATAAGGAAAATTTCTTGCTTAAACTTCTTCAGCCTGTGGTCCAGACGACATACCTGTCATAGTCTTGCAGAAGTGTTGTTTGGAGCTGTCGTCTATACTTTCAAAACTATTTAACAAATGTTTATAGAAGTCATTTTTTGCCGCCCTGCTAGAAAGCTGTGTCTGTGTTTCCTATTTTTTAAAATTTTAGATAGCGATCCGACTTGTCTATCTATCATTCCATCAGTCTTCTTACTAGCATAAGCAAGGTTTTTGAGTCTTTAATTAACACACAATTAATCTCTCATCTTGAATCTAATAATTTACTTTCTGATCTGAAATATGGATTTCGATCTTCTCATTCTACTGCTTAATTATTAACGATAATAACTGATAGGTTTTATCGTGTGTTCGATAATTGTGAAGACGCTAAGGCCATTGCTCTTGACATTTCTAAAGCCTTTGATAAAGTTTGGCATTCGGTTCTTTTCCTTAAGCTTTTGTCTTACAGTTTATCAGGTAATGTGTTAAAGATTATTGAATTCTTCCTTACTAATCGTATTATAAAAGTTATACTTTGTGGACAGCATTCTTCTCATTTCCGGTAACTTCAGGGATTCCTCAAGGTTCCATCCTTGGTCCTATACTTTTTCTAATATACATTAATGATCTCCCTGAAACTCCCACATCTTAGGTGGCATTGTTGGCTGATGACACTAATATTTATTCTTGTCTTGATAAAAACCAACACTCTCTGATTGCTTGGAGAGGTATCCAAGCTTAAAATAGATCTGCTACAGCAGATCTATTTTAAGCTACTTCTGCTACAGCATGGGGTTCTCAGTGGCTGGTGAACTTGAACTCAGATAAAACTAAATATTTTTCAGCCAATTGTTATCGCAATAACTTTTATCTTCCTAAATTTATGAACGGTAATATAATTGATGAGTCATCTTCCAATCATCTTTTAGGATTAACTATTACTTCTGATCTTGTATCAAATTGATATCAAAATTAGCATCTTCTAACCTTGCATCTCTTTATCGTGCTTGCCACTTTTAGACTCCTATTTCCATTCTTTATCTCTATAAATAATTTATCCGTCCTTCTACAGAATACTGTTGAAATATCTGGGAAGGATCTTCCGAAGATGCTCTTTCTCTTTTAGACAAGGTGCAAAACTTAGTTGGACCTGCTCTTGCAGCCAACCGCATGTCACCGGGAAATCTTATAGATAAAATTCTTAAGGTTAATAGAGTGCAAATAGAAAAATCTAAACATGCAGACTTTGACCAACAACTAAAAATTAATAATAAACTTCCAGAGCCACTAAAGTTTTATTCACGTCATGTTTCTTCTTTTATTCTTCGTCATCTCCTGGAACAATATGATAAATATGTCAAGTCTGATTTTAGTTTATATGAGGTTAATAATTTTTATTAAATGTACTCCATTTTTTATTATTTTTTGTTTTCCAATAAGATTTGCTAGTCAATCATTACTTATTTTATGGTGTTTTAGGACAGAGATTCATTACAAATAATCGATCGGCAATCAACTTTTTATAACATAATAGACTGGTTTTGCATCTGTGATGCTGCATCAGGGTTTGGCGTGCCGTGTGCACATGTTCCTTTTGCTCTAAGAATGAAGAATGTAACTGTTAATGATCTACAGTTGATTCATAAAAGGTAACCTTGGGTTTTCTACTAATTAATAATAATAAAGGTTCGTAATATTATATAACTTCATGACCTTATTTAAATTTCAATCCACTTATGTTATAGATTGCTAAAATAATTTTTTAATGCTAAATTGATTGTCTGTTATAGTTCAATAAATGAAATAATTACTTTTATTTAATTGGCTAGAAGAATTCTTTTTTGTGTACACTGAAATAAAAATTTTAGATACATTTTTTAACCTACTTTACACTAGGATAACAGAAATTATTTACATTGACATAAATTTATTTAGGTGGATTTTATGCAATACTGTAGCAAACCAGGTAAGTTTTGACCAAGCGCCATCACATATTACCTCAAATATAGAATTATTACCTCTCTGTTGTGCCACTCCCAAACAAAGATTTACTACAGCAATGAGTTACCTTCAACCAATAGCCTCTTTGCTCGCTGAGATGCCACCCAAAAAATTTGAACTTGCAATAACCTGGTTAGGATCTATTAATCAACAATGCATTTCTGGTGAATGGGAACTGATGGTATGTCAATGGATTTTAGATGCTTTCAGTTTTCAAATCATTAAAGAACTGCATTAGAAAAATGTTGTGTTTATTTTAGTTTCAAAGTGATCCTTGTCTAGAAGTTTTTACACCTGCAGAAGATCACGGTGATCCTTGTCTAGGAGGTTTTACATCTACAGTAGATCAAAGTGATCCTTGTCTAGAAGATTTTACATCTACAAAAGATCTATCATCAAAAGAAATTTTAGAAGTTAAATCACCTTCAAGTGCAGATCCTATGATGACCCCACTTGAATGCATAAATAAAGAAATATGTAAAGTAGTCTCTCAAGAGCCACATATAAATTTAGTTTTAAGGCAACCCCAGCGGAAGCTACCTGGTCGTGTAGGTAAAAACAAACAGAGACTTTTTGACAAAGCTATAAAAGCGTTTGTAAAATTAGGTAGTTTCGAAAAAGATCATATCCCTCTCTGTTGGTTTGTAAAAAGAACAGTTGCCCTGCAGGTTTTACACGAGAGTGCTAAAATTACCAGATTGCTGACCCTAGAGCAAGTCTCGATGACATTAAGCAATATTTTGTAGAGGATGCATGGGCTGAAGTCATCAAACGGTGTGAAGATATGAGGATTGAAAAATGGCCATGTCAAATATGCGGGCAGTCTAAGGCAGCTGGAAAAAACCAAAAATGGCTTCAGTGTGATCATTGTTTAGACTGGTCGCATTATGTTTGTATACAAATATCTTGCAAACCTAAAGGATATTGGTTCTGTGCTCAATGTAAAGTAAGGAAATAGTGGAATTTAGGTTCATATCTTAATATAAAATATTTTTAAAAGTTTTTAATATCTATTTATTTAGCGACATAAATAAATATTAAAATGTTTATTATTTATTATTTATAGAAACGGTTAGTATATTATAATATTTATAAAGAGCATACTCCATATTTATTTTTATTTATTTAATATATTATAATATAAATTAATATATTATAAAAAACATTTAAAATAGCTTTTAATTGGCAATTAGCTTTGTGTTTCTTTAGCTAGTGTCCCTTTTTTGCAAAATTCTTGAACCTGATAGTTAAAAATACTTTTTTTGAAATAGCCCTTTATACTACTTTTGAAATAGCCCATGCTACTTTCTAGCGTTTCTTAGTTTAGTCTTTTTTAAGCTTACACTTGAAAATTGTTATATGTAGAAATGATTTTTGCTAATCTCTAAATATTTTTTATTGCAAGCTACATTTTATTGTTTTTGATATTTGTTATTGCTTAGCTTTGAAAAAATTAAATTTCATTATTATTTTTGTTTCTTTGGAAACCATTATTTTAAATCAGATTTTGGAATTTTCAAATTGCTGAATTTTGTAGATTTTTGATTTTTAATTAAAAGTTAGTAATTCCAGGCTAGAATTAGAGGTATTTGAAGAAAATATCAGCTTTTTTAATTAGATATTTTTCTTCTATTTGGTAGAGCATCAGGTTTTGTCGGAAAGTGAGAGTTGCAGCTCATGGGTCATTATTTGAGCTTTGATTAGTCATGATACATTTTTTAAACATTATGTTATGCATTGTATGATGTATTATAATATAATGTATCATATAATCTATAATCTAATGTATCATAGTTTATATCTAAGAAAAAAAAATGACAAAAATGCTTCCTGCATTAAAATAAAGTTAGAAAAAAAGTGTTAGACATGTTGTTAGGCATTTTTCTTTTTTAATTTGTTTCAGAAATTTTATAAAGATACTCTCAGTGCTTAACTTTGATAACGCTCATTTGTTTTTCATATTGCATTCTAGAACTTTTTAATTTTGTTGTGTAAAGTGATTTTTTAACAGTGCAGCTTTATTTTAATTTTATATATTTTCATAAAGTCAACACGAAGTTTATGTTACAGCATGATTTCTTGTTAATTTTTATTTATTAGTTTACTTTGAAAATACATCATGAAAATAAGTGTAACTATTATTAAGTGAAATAATGTGTAACTATTATTTTTAGCAATGTTTCAAAGATTATTATTTTTATCAATGTTTTTAAGTCTAACAAAAGGTTAACCTGTTTCTCTGGTAAGACAGGAAGAGTTTTTTATAGTCATTATAGTTGTATTATATATTATAATCAAGGAATGAAATAGAGGAAAAGTTATTTGCATATAATTTATTCTTGGGAGTTATAAGATGAGACCCTTGAGGTAGAGCTGGAGAATTAGATTATCCTTTGTTGTTGACACTGTTAAAGTAAGTACAGTACCTGTTTATTTTCATAAAATTTTTGTTTTGTTGTTGTTGATAATAATTTTTTGAATATGACTTTTTAAGGGAAGTTCATTTGTATTTTATCTTTATGTTCGCCTTTTTTCATTTAAACACTGGTGTGGAAGGTAAGTTTTGTAAGTTATGGAATTTATGCATAGTTATTTGATTTTGTGCTGTTTCATTTGCTTAATTCGTTTTAGATTAGTTGAAGAGAGATTCAGACACGTAGGCTTTACTCCTTTTATTTAATCTCTTTGTTTACATCTTTACAAAATATTTTACTTTAATTAATTGTAAAATCAACCATTGTTTTTAATTTAGTTATGAATGAGTCTATGAATTAGTCTGATAGCGAACAAAAAGTTGCATTCTTTATCACAACTTTAAGATGTACAAGACTCAAAGTTTCTTATATCTTTATTGTTCCCAATATTCAACATTGCATTATGTTGAAAATATTGGAAACCATAAAAATCTATGAATTGAAAACTACAAACTAATTAGAAATACAGAAGTTATATCATCTTCAATTTAAATTGATTACTTAAAACCACACGATGTTTTTCAATAACCCAAACAACGACTGCTACATCAGCAGCAGCAGTATCAAAAAAAGCAGGTAAATTGATTTTGTAGTTTTTATACATGGATTATTTTTTTTCGGATGTTCCCGGTATTCCGGGTATTTTTCAAGACTTTTTGTTTTCCGGATATCCTCAATTATTTCAATGCATACAAGTTTAAGTATGCATTTGTGTAAATGTTTGGAGTTTTTTAGTCATCACTCATACAAAAAAATGATAAAATTAACTCAGCTGAAGGCAAAAATTAAGAGAAAAATATGAGAAAAAATATTATGCATATTGTACGCAAAGAAATTTCAGGATTTTTAAATTATGACCTGGACGATCTATGTTTTATAAGTGGTGTCTTCTCACTTTTTGTATGCATAAAAAAAGGAAAAACTTTTTAACTTTTTTCAAGACTTAATTTTGAAACACTTTCTGTCTGACACCGTTTTTGTGGTAGCTATTTATGTTATATGTTTATATATGTTATATGTTTGCTAAAACTTATAATACTTATTTATCCACTATTTATATTGTATCAATTATATATATTTCTGAACAAGGTCTTACAGTCAAGGATACTTACAATTACTTCAAAACTAATATAAAGTAAAAACCTAACGATAATCATATTAAATAATAATAGTGATACAAATAAAAATTATAAAGATAATAGTTATAAATTATCAACACCAATAGCAACAAAAATGGTTTAAATTATAATAAAAATAAATCAATATTTTAAAAGAATTAATTAATATTATATACATAAACAGGGAAAAAAAAAATAACAATGGTTAATTAATATTTACAACATCTATAATCATAAAATATTATTTGACCACAAACAAATATTAACTTTATTAAATGATTATATTTATTATAAGTTAAATATCTGATGCTATGTGTTATTATTGTAAGTAATCAATGTGTTGTCGTGTTTTAGTGTTGCTAGATAGCTTGACTTAATTTCCCGCTGTTGTCTATCTTTAAAAACGACTATTACTTGTTTCATTACTGGAACTCACAACTTCTAATTTATCACTAAAAGAATTTTCTTAGTAATTGGTTTAAAGCTGAATTTGATTTTTATCTTAAGACCGAAGAAGTTGCAAAATCTGTCATTACTGCGAACTGGCATAGGCGCAAATCAGTATAAGTGCACCATAAGAACTTATAGACATCAGTTTAAGTGCGAACTGGTATAAGTGCGATGCAGTTGCATAGAATGGCATAAGTGCAAATGGATTAAGTTCTAGAATATTCCTTAATTACTTCCACTCTATTAACAACTCCTCGCCTGGGTTTTTTATGTTACTTAGCTAATACATTTCAATGAGCATTATGCTTTTCCCTTTCAAAATAACAACATTTTTATTATTTTAACAGTTTCCTCGTGAATTTTCACTGTACGTAACTTTTTAAACTAATTTTCACTGTACTGTAACTTTTTAAACTAATTTTCACTGTAACTTAAAAGCTTTTCTGATAAATACGGTGAATTTTCACTGTACAGTGAATTTTCACTGTATTTAGCGAAAAACGTTTCCTTAGGTACAGTGAATTTTCACTGTATTTAGCGAAAACGCTTATTTAGGTACAGTGAATTTTCACTGTATTTAGCGAATAGCGCTTTCTTAGGTACAGTGAATCTTCACTGTATTTAGCGAAAAACGCTACCTTAAGTACAGTGAATTTTCACTGTATCTAACACCAAGCCTTCTCCTCTAGGCCCAGAACCCGTATTTCGTTTATATAAAGAATATCCTTCCAACTAAATTTCCGATGTCTCATTGAACCAGGTTTCTGCAATTATTTGAAAAATTAAAACTGCATAAGATTTTAAATTCTTCAACTTTGTTTACTAAAGATATTGGATTTGTATATAAAACATTAAATGATAATAAACTTACTAATTTTTTATGTTGTTGTTCTGTAATAGCAATTATTTGAAAAATTAAAACTGCATTAGATTTTAAATTCTTCAACTTTATTTACTAAAGATATTGCATTTGTATATAAAACATTAAATGATAATAAACTTACTATTTTTTTATGTTGTTGTGTTAAGCTGTATTTTAAATTTGACAATTCCATTTTCGCGGATCGAATATCTAAAGGGCAAATTTGCTATTATTTCACCATTCATTTTGTCACGTTTCTTTCTAAGTTCATAATTTTCCATTCTCTCTGCTTCAGTTAAATCAGGCGAAATAAAAACTTACTTGAATTCTTGCTTTTCTCTCAGAATCTTCATTTAAAATCACTAATATTGGTCCCGGTTTTCCAGTTTGTTTCGTATTTAGCCTTTTTTGAAATGTTGGGACGATTTCTACATTTATTTCATGAAATAGTTTACTAATTTGTTTTATATCCTCTTCATGTTGTTCTTGCAATGTAGCTTTTTTAGATGCAGGAAGGCGATAGACAATATTTTTTCTTCTTTTTTCTCTATTTTTTTGCTCATTAATAGCTGCATTTACAACAATTAATTGTTCAACTGCGGATTTTGTTTTAGAAAAAGAGGTAGACCAATTTTTACTTGTTATAGCATCTGAGTAAGATTGTTTTGGCAAATATTCTCGAGAGTCTTTTTCATCTTCTAGTACCACAATACGTGTTTCTAACCCTTTCTGCAGACAGTCATTTTCCATTTTTAATACTATTTTTTCAAGTGGTTTATTTTTTCTAACTCTATCTCAAGATGTCTCAAGTACTCTAATTCATTTGTCTGTATTTTGGTATTAAGAAACAACAAAACTTTCGAAATTTTACCACACCAATCATGTTAGATTTTAGAGCCCGTATGATTTCCTGGTCCTAAACTTAGCCAATTTTCCTGCTTTAAAAATCCATTTCCATGTTAGTTTTTCTTTGCATTTATATCTTTAACAATGATGAGTTGGTGTTTAATAGGAGGGCTACCACCCTA